GTTGCTTGTCATGACCATGAGAAGAGAAACGGAGAGCTCATTCTTCCATTAACTCTCTCTTGTATCTGCTCATTCTGTCAATGTCTCGGACACCAGGCTGCATTGTAGATGCCAGGCAGGGCCCCTGCCCTCCTGGGACTGACGTTCTCATGGCCAAGGGAAAATAGTAAACAGGAGGCTCCTTGACCGCCTTGGATGGGGCTGGTAGGGGAGGGCCCTGAGGGTGGCGTTTGAGGGGTACCAGCCAGTGTGACAAGGGTGGGGGTGATGGTGAGGGCCTTTCCTCTGGAATCGTGAGTATATATGAAGGCTTGAATTGGGAGCAGGTTTGAATTTGGAAGAACAGTACAAAGGCCTGTATGTGGCTGAAAATTCCAGAATGAGGAAAGGCAAGGTCAGATGTGTGGTTGGATTTTATTCTGGGGGGCATAGCATGCCTCTAATGTGGTTTTACTTATTTTTAAAAAATATTTTATTTTTAAGTAACCTCTACACCCAGTGTGGCGCTCAGACTCACAACCCCAAAATCAAGAGTCTCATGCCCCCCCCACCTCTGGATGGTTTTAGATGGAGGAGTGGTATGCCTGGCTGCTCTGTGGAGGGGTGCTGGAGAGGAGTGCTGTGGCAGGAGGCAGGGGGCCCGTGGGAAGCTCTTCCAGGGTGTTGGTGGGAAATGATGGGCAGGGGCAGTATTTACCAACCATTTCTTTCATTATGATCCTGTAAGGAGCAATTTTAGACATGTTTTCCTATCCATCCTCCTGTGACTTTTTTTCCTAAACGGAGGTGAAATTCACATGCCCTAAAATTAACCATTTTGAAGCGCACAACTCAGTGGCATTTCGTGCATTCACAGTATTGTGCAACCACCACTTTCCTCTAGTTCCAAAACATTTCCTTCACTCCCAAGTAAAATTCTGTTAATTAAGCAGGCACCCCCCCCACTCTCCGCTCGCTTGCCCCTGGAGACCATCAGTCTGCATTCTGTTTGTATGGATTTGCCTATTCTGGATACTTCATTTAAGCGAAATCATATAACCTGTGGCCTTTGTGTTTGGCTCCTTTTACTGAGTGTATGTTTCCAGGGGCCTCCCCACTGCAACAATTATCCGAACCTCATTACTTTTCATGGCTCAGTAACATACTACTGTGGACACCCCAGTTTGTCAGTACATTGGTGGACATTCGGATTGTTTCCAGCTTTGCAATGTTGTGAATAGTGCTGCTACGAACATTTGTATACCAGGGTTTGAGTACTGCTTTCAGTTTGGGGGTATATACCTAGGGGTGGACCCTCAGGAAATTTGAAAATACTGTAGGTCTGTTTATGTACTGCCTGTGTCTGTTTTTCTTTTCTTTTCTTTTCTTAAAGATTTTATTTATTTATTTGACAGAGAGAGACACAGCGAGAGATGGAACACAAGCAGGGGGAATGGGAGAGAGAGAAGCAGGCCTCCCGCAGAGCAGGGAGCCCAATGTGGGGCTCGATCCCAGGACCCTGGGATCATGACCTGAGCCAAAGGCAGACGCCTAACGACTGAGCCACCTAGGTGCCCCATGTGTCTGTTTTATACATAAAAAGAGTAAGAGTGTTTCACCCCCTAAGAGCCACTTTTCTGCCCTTTGAGGGGCATATTGTCCCATTGAGACTCTGTGTACTAGGCTGATAGCAGTGGGCGTGGAGACCAGAGGGGAGCTGGGGGTTGTATTTTGGAAGTGGTATGAGGAGGCCTTGCTGAAGAGTGGGGTAAGTTGAGGCAGGAGAGCAAGGGAGGAATTGACGCAGTGTAGACATGTTTGGCCTTGAACATCTACGTGAGTGGTTGTAGCATTAACTCATGGGGAGGTCGAGGCAGGTACACGGTGTTTCACAAATTGGGGAGGTGGGCTTGTGGTACTAGGGGTGGGCAGGGGCCATCTCTTCCCCCCGAGGTGGGTGACCCCAGTGCTATCCCTTTCCCAATTACATGAGGCATTTTTGTCCCAGATGTCTGTGAGGGGGGCCTCTGACCTTTGCTGGGGAGAGAGTGAACCAGACCCATCTCTACTGGCTCACCCTTATTCTTGCCATGTTCAAGTGCTGTGTTTAATTAAAAAAAAAAAGGACGTCTTTCTTAAACCTTCAATACTTAAGTTTTATTAACAAAGGAAACTTTATATGTCTGAAATTAAAGACTTTTTGTTCCAGTTATGTTTAAACTACAGAATTTCAAAAATAACAACTTTGCCTCTGTGCTTGCTGAATTTCCCTGCGGGACCACGAGTGGGGCAGGGCTCTGTTAGACCACCTGCTGGCTTCTCTTTCCTTACCACCCCCCCTGCCCCCGCCCGCCCAGAGATTTTATTTTATTTTATTTTAATTTTTTATTGTTATGTTAATCACCATATATTACACCATTAGTTTTTGATGCAGTGTTCCATGATTCATTGTTTGTTCATAACACCCAGTGCTCCATGCAGAACGTGCCCTCCTCAATACCCATCACCAGGCTAACCCATCCCCCCACCCCCCTGATTTTATTTTTTAAAAGTAATCTCTACATCCAGCATGGGGCTCGAACTTGTAATCCAACGTCAAGAGTTGGATGCTCTTCCCCAGCCAGCCAGGTGCCCTGCCTTCCTTACTTTGTTCACGGGAGCTGTTATTATTAAGTTGGGAACTGTGGACTCTTTGTGGTTGAATTCTATGTGCAATAGCACGTTTACATGTGTTTTCGTTATGGCTCACCCTTTCTGGTTAGGCTTTTTTGTCAAAGTGCCTTGCAGTTGCACGCAGTGCTTTGGCTAGTAGAGGACCCTTCTTGCTCTACGTGGTTGCTAGTTTGTGTAGGAGAATACAGTGTGAGAGGCCCTGGTCTTTTAGTCCTCCCAGAGAGGTTTCAGCCACTGCAAGTCTCTTTTGCAAGGAAGCAGGTAGAATACAAGTGAATGAGTAATAAAGAAAATCCCAAGACGAAAGATTTTATTGCTCATATGCTTACATATTTTGCAATGCCTTTACCTTTAATACCTTTGATGATTCTCTCTCTCTCTTTCTTTTTTTTTTTGGTGGGCCAGGTACTTTAGTTCTACTAGTTCTACTTGTTATGGTACTAGTGGTTATAGTAACAGCGCTCGAACAGCGACTGCCTCTCTCATTGGACAAAAAGTTGTGTACCAGGTGTTGGGCCAGGCATTTGTCCATCCTTAGAGCAAAATGAGGTTAATTTACTATTAAAAAAAAACTTAATTCTCAAAATAATTTCAAGTATTGATCGAGCCTTTGCGAAGGACCACTTGACGTGCATTAGTGCAGCTCACCTTCACCTGCCCTCCTCATTTGCAAGATGAGGTAAAGGATGCCCAGAGACAAGCCCACTTCATCCCTTTGTGGATGTATCAACCTCAGCACTACTGACCTTTGGGACCAAAGATAATTATTTGTTTCGGGGGGCTGTGCTTTATACAATGTTGAGCAGCATCCCTGGTCTCCACCTATTAGATGCCAGTGGCACCCTCCCCTCCCCCAGTGGTGACAGCGAAAAATGTCTGCAGATGTTACCCAGTGTGTCCTGGATGGCAAAATCACTCCTGGCCAAAAACTCCTGGTTTAGATGATTGAAACCAAAGCCCTCGAGGTTAATGGGGAAATAGAAAAAAATACTACACTGATAACAAATAATATAGTACTTAACTGATGCCAGGCACTGTTTAGATGATTATTTGATCATTACAACTTGATGAGGTAGGTACTTTTATTAGTCCCTTTGTATTATGTTATCAACGTCCCTCTTTGAGGCTAGCAGGAAAGGAGATTCACAGACCTCGGGTAGCTTGCCCAAGGACACCCAGCAGGTCAGCTGCAGAGCTGGACTTTTAAAACCCAGTGTCTGGCTCCCGATACATGCTTGCAGCCACCCCTGTCTGTGTCTGGTCTTTACAACCCTTTGTTATATTAAAGCTAGCGTTGGCAGGCCCTGGAACTAGAGCTGAGCAGCTATATGAGTTTCACCCATTGGATCCTCACTTTGAGTATTCTCCCATTTGGCAGGTGAACAAATTGAGGCAAGCATCCACCAAAGTGTCTGAACACTTTTGAAGTCCCCAGGATGTCCCAATTTGTAACCCCCTTGCCATCAACAGCTTCTCTTAAGGACCAGATCATTGCAAAGTGCATGTTTCTTACGCGTCTGAGGAAGGCTGGCCATTTTGTTGTCTGGCACGAATTTAGTAACAGCACAGTCCCAGTAATGGCAGGCTATTTAGGCAAAGGGGCAGGATCTCCAGGATCTTCAGGAGGCATGGCCCATCTGAACACTCCATTTTGTCACATGGTGTGTTTTCTGTCCTACCCCCAACTCAGTGTGGATGAGGCTCAGGGGAGCAGTATATAGGTAGTTGTAAGGTATTTTTAAAAGACCTGGGCTTAGGTACGATTCTCTATCCTCCTTTAAAAGTTTGGAACATAGTAAGGAGGGAGATAATTGACCAGTGACGCCCTCACTCCATCTGGTGCTGAATTTGGCTTCATTCAGCGTCACAGAACCTTTGAAATGAGAAGCCGGAGATCTCCCAAGGGGTCGACTTGGCCTCCGGCAGGTGCAATGCCTGTGCAAGCCAGCTCCTGCATCTCCCACAAATGGATGGCATGCCATTTGTAAGCCTGGCTCCGGTCTCTGCATCTGGACTGTGGTGGGGGCTGGTTTAATCTCTGTTTATTTTGAGATTTACACCCGTGAATGGGCCAAACCAATTTCAGTGGCAGCTTAGCCGATTTGTCTTAGAGCTTTGTGTTTAATAGAATGACTGGGGAGGCCTTCTTCATTCGAAGCTTTAACGGTTTAACATTGGGTTAAAGCCTGTGCTTGACATAAATGGCCAGCCCTTCCCGCTGCTCCCCATCTGTGGCGCTCTAGGGGCCTTGTTGAAATCAAATACAGTTTCTCTCCTCTCCCCCTAAAAAGTTTTATTTATTTATTTATTTGTAAATTCGTTTTTTAACAATGAACGTACTTTTTCAGCTTCACCAGCCTCTGCAAAGACGGGACAAGCAGGGAGTTTATCCGGCAGCCCGAAAACTTTCTCTCCTCAAGCGTCAACACCCATCACGACGAAAACGGACAAAACATCCACCACTGGAAGCATCCTGAATCTTAACTTGGGTCAGTGGGAATTTTTGGAAGTCTCTTTCTGCGGCAACTATGAATATTGTTGCAAGTTGTGATGTCCTCTTTTGTGTGTGGTTCTTGACCTCTGAACTCTTCTCTCTTTGCAAAATATTTAAAAGGTACACTGGACAAAGATGAAGAGAGGTTGGTAAGGGGAGCAAGTAAGGGATTTCCTGGGGCTTGTTGACATGTAAAGTTGTTTCATCTTGAAGTACCTTAGGCTGGTGTTTACAACCATTTCTTGCCCTTGACCCCAGTAACCTGGTTCTTATATATGTGTATGTATAGGTTTTTTGTTTTTGTTCTTTTTTTTAAAGATTTATTTATTTGAGAGAAAGAGCACATGAGCTCGGGGAGGGGCAGAGGGAGAGAGAGAATCTCGAGCAGACTCCCCACAGAGCCTGGAGGCTGTCAAGGGGCTTGATCTTATGACCCCAAGACCATGACCTGAGCTGAAATCAAGAGTCGGTCACTTAACTGACTGAGTCACTCAGGCACCACCCTATGTGTGTATATATGTTTGATGTTTTATATGCACACACACACGATGTACATAAAGTTTTATGAATCAGTATTTACTTTATGTGCAGTATATTTTGATATATTGTTTTCTTAATTCTCTCCTAATTTTTTAAAAAAATGCTGGTCTTTATCCCTGACTTAGTAGGTTGTATTTTCCCACCGTTGGAGTTCTTTTGGTTTTTTAATTTTTAATTTATTTATTTTTAAAAGATTTTATTTATTCAGAGAGAGAGAGAGAGAGAGCACAACTGGGGAGGAGGGGTAGAGGGCAAGGGAGAAGCAGACTCCCCGCTGAGTGGGGAGCCCGACGTGGGACTCAGTCCCAGGACCCTGAGACCATGACCTGAGCCGAAGGCAGATGCTTAACCAACTGAACCACCCAGGCGCCCCTCATTTGTTTTTTGTTTTTTTTAAAGCACTACCTTTGGCGAAAATCTTCAGAAAAATTATCACCAGAAATGCGAAATATCCATTTGTGAAGTTATTTTATTGATTCATTCCATCATGATCTTTGATTTTTATTGAGCATCTATTACATGCTGTGTGCTATTTCAGGCACGGGGCAGGGAGTGGTGAGCAAGGGCCCTGCTCTTATGCAGAGCTTGGTTCTAGAAAGTGAGAAACAAATAAGGTAAAGAAACAAGACAGTTCACCCCGTGAAAGAAGGTAGAGTGTGCTGACATGATAAGGAGAGAGATACGCAGGATGGGGGTGGTTTGGAAGAGGCTGTGTTTAGGGAAGGCCTCTGTGAGGTAGTATTTAAACGTAGATTTGCCTGACAAGAAAAACCAGCCATCCCTGTACTGGGGGAGGAAAACGTTGTAGGAGGAACTAGAGATTTACAGGCCTTGGGGTAAGGGATGAACTCTGTGCTGTAGGAATGACAGGGAGGCCCAGGTGGCCTGTCCCAGTGGGTAAAGGGGAGAAGTTGAGTAGCTGAGGTCCATCAGCCCTCGGACCCTGGTGCGGACCCTGGTGTGGACCCCGGGGCGGACTGTGGGGCGAAGCTGTTGGAGCAGTGGAGGGATGTGAACTGAGCATTTTAGAAGGACCACGCTGAGTGCCGTGTTGAAAATAGCCTGTCAACTGTTCTTCCCCTGGGACAGTTCCCTCATTCCCCTCCAGGGGACACTTGGCAATGTCTGGAGACATTTTTGGTTGTCACAGCTGGGAAGGGAGGCTCGAGAATCCAGGGTTTTAGGAAGGGAGGGAGGGGCCGCCCCCTGTGTGGAGTGATGCTCACATGTGAATTCACAGCCTCTGGAGGCCAGTACTCTCCAGGTTGATCTTGTCCTGCAGTGCCCTTTCAGATGGAGAGACGGAGGTCTGGAGGGGAGGCTGCAGGTGCCCAGGATCGCGGAGCCAGTAGGCGGCAGGGCTGGAGGAAGCCCTTGTCTCCACGGAGCCCAGAGCCTGGCTCATCCTGGCTCCCACCTTAGTGCAGCTTGGATGTGGTCCAGCAGGCAGAGTGGTAACTTTTGGGGCCCCAGCTCAGATTGGCTGGTGCGAATTGCTCATTTGCACAAAAGGGGCCCCGTTTGCTCCCTTGGGGATTGGTCCTTGATCTCAGCAGTGTGGTTAGCTTTCTCATACCCTCCCTCCACCTCCACAAAAAGGAACACTGTGCAGAGGCAGTTCTCATGGTCATGTTTCTTCTCTGCCAGTCGTGTGGTAAGAATAGCTCCTTCCCTAAGCCAGGCAGTCTTGGACATCCTTGTGATGGTTGGGGGGTCTTTTGGTTTGGCTTACCTGTGGTGGCAGTGAAGGATTTCTTCCCGTTGTGTGGGACCCGAGCCTCTCGTATGCAGAAGTGTCCCCCTCTCCAGCTTCTTCCATTCTAGGACACACGCCTTGTCAGTAGGAACGAAAGCATTGGGCTGGCATTTCAGTTACCTAACAGGAAGAGGATCAGAGAGGGACCAGTGAAAACTGTCGTGGCTGGGTAGAAGGATCAGACAGTGGAGGGAAGTTCTAAATAATCCTCAAGAGCTTGTCTGGGGATGGGGCAGGTGCTTTATATGGGATTTCTTTTTTTTTGTTTTTCCTTTTTAAGTAGGCTCCACACCCAGCGTGGAGCCCAGTGGAGGGCTTGAACTCATGACCCTGAGATCAAGACCTGAGCTGAGATCAAGTCAGACACTTAACCGACTGAGCCACCCAGGCACCCCATGGGGCTTTTTTTTATGTCTGGCATCCACGTAACTACTTTGAGCAGACAGAAATGAGACCGCGCTGGGGATGCTGACAACACTATTATATCTAACAAAACGGTATTTCATCAAAACAAAAACAAAAACAAAAAACTGGAAAAGACAAAATTAGAGAGATGGAAACCGGGAGTGATTGTGGGGGATGTTGGGGTGGGGGAGGGTTTGACTACAAACTACAGAGGGATTCTTTGGCCTTGGACATTGTTCTGCATTCTGTGTGTGGTGGTGGTTACACATACCTATATGCAGGTGTTAAAACTCCTACAACTGTATTTCCCCCCAGATTTCACTCTCTGTAAATTAAAACTATTAAAAAAATACAACAGCCTTCAAGGTAGATAATAGCCCCATTTCAATGAGGTAGAAGAAACTGGGGCGGGGGGCACCTGGGTGGCTCAGTCGTTAAGCATCTGCCTTCAGCTCAGGTCATGGTCCCAGGGTCCTGGGATTGAGCCCTGAATCGGGCTCTCTGCTTGGCGGGGAGCCTGCTTCTCCCTCTCCGACTCCCCCTGCTTGTGTTCCCTCTCTCGCTGTGTCTCCCTCTGTCATATAAATAAAATCTTAAAAAAAAAAAAAAAAAAAAAAAGAAACGGCACAGAGAAGCAGTTAACCTGCCCAGCCAGGATCACCTGTGGTCTGCGGTCACGTTTGGCCTGTGGACTCAGGCCTGTGGACTCAGGCCTGTCTGCCTTGTAGTGTATGCTCTTAGCCATGATATGTGAGCCGACACGCTGCAAGATGGGGCCGTGTTTGGATGCTGGTGGGCCCTGGACACTGCCTCTCATGCCCTTGGGTAAGTTGGCCTAGCTGTAGGGGTCAGGGGGTGAGGTGACGATTTTGAACAGGCAATCCCGTGGAGGACAGATTGGTTTTCTGAAGGATGCAGCTCCCCCAAGTTGAACCTGTGTTGTCAGACTCTGAACACAGAAATGCAGATTTTTATATGAACTCTCCTCGTTTTTAAAAGTCAGCAATCAGTTGCATTAAAAAATGAAAACTCTTTTTTGGGCAAAACAAATAAATCCAACCCAAAATACAAAAACCCAGCCCAGTGGGACATCTGTTGGATTTGTGATTCTTAGAGTTAATTTTGGCACATGACAAAGGGGAAAGCTTTTACAGAGACTGTTTTCTCCCTGCTTGCTAAAGTACAGGCCCCTCATTTGCTGTCTCAGGCCTCCTGTCTGCTCTAAAACAAGGAGCCGAAGCCTGGTGGATGGTTACAGCCCCTTTCTGTGACTGTATGGAAAATAAGTCATGAATAAGAACGAGAGAAGGAAGGCCTGATTATTTTCTTCTAGACTACCGTTTGCTTCTCTGGGAATCTCATCTTCTCTTAACACACAGGGTGTTTGCTTTGGGCTGAACAAACACAGCAGTTCAGTGATCCTGTTGGTGACACAAATGTGTCTGGATGCTCAGTCAGAGATGCTGACAGCAGTGTGAAGTTGTCAGACCCAGAGCGTTGCTGCATGTTTATTCCTTTGCTGTCACTGATGGGAGGTCTCCTTTCTTTCTCTGGATAAAGTGATACCTTGAAGTCAGGCGTCCTTTGAGAGCCTGGATGCAACACTGGAGGCCCAGGCTTCCCACAGGATGCCTTGATTTTTTTTTCCCCCCCAGTGGGTGAAGTGAGGAAGATCTCTGCTTGGCTTTGATTGTTAAGAGATATTTGCCAGGGTCTCTGGTCTGGAGGATTATTGTTTCCTCGAAGGAGCCACCATTTTGTAGCTCCAGGAAGTCCACCCATTATAGTCACCCAGCAGCTTTTGAACAAAGGAAATCTATTTCTTTTTTTTTTTTTTTTCCTTCTTTTTTCCCCTTGAGAGAGGGAGCTCGCGAGAGGGGGTAGTTTGGGGGGTATGCGGAGGGAAAGGGAGAAGGAGAATCCCAAGCAGCCCAGAGCCTCATGCGCGGCTTGATATCATGACCCTGAGATCATGACCTGAGCCAAAATCAGGAGTGGGACAATTAACTGACTGAGCCACCCAGGCACTCCAAGAAATCTTTTTTTTTAATTGAAAAATACATGCTTATATTTTCTTGAAAAGTTTATTATGTCATGAAGGCACGTGGTAAGAGAAATTTCAAAGGACAGAAAGATGTTTAATGAAAAGCCAGCCTGTCCATAACCTCTGATCACCTGTCTCTGTGCCCCTCCCAACAAATGACCATGGTTACCTCTCTTTAGTTTCTGGGAGAGCTCTTCTATATATACACCAGGAGTTTTCAACCTGGGTAATTTTTGTTTGGGAGTGTCTGGAGATACTATTATTATTATTATTATTTTTATTTATTTTATTTTATTTTTTTCAAAGATTTTATTTATTCATGACAGACAGAGAGAGAGAGAGAGAGAAGCAGAGGGAGAAGCAGGCTCCCAAAGAGCAGGGAGCCCGATGCGGGACTCGATCCCAGGACCCTGGGATCATGACCTGAGCCAAAGGCAGATGCTTAACCATCTGAGCCACCCAGGCGCCCATATTATTATTATTTTTAAAGATTTTATTTATTTATTTGACAGAGAGAGCAAGAGAGGGAACACAAGCAGGGGGAGTGGGAGAGGGAGAAGCAAGCTTCCTGCGGAGCGGGGACCCCGATGTGGGGCTCAGTCCCAGGACCCTGGACCCTCAGACGCTTAACAACTGAGCCACCCAGGCGCCCCTGGAGAAGTTATTTTTAAGTAATCTCCACACCCAGTGTGGGGTGTGGAGATCAAGAGCGGCACGCTCCACCGACAGAGCCAGCCGGGCGTGCCCCTAGAGACATTTTTATGTCACAGCTGGGATACGGGTGCTACTGGCACCTGGTGGGTAGAGCCAGCAAAGCGCTGACCGTCCTACAATGCACAGGACAGCCCCCAGCCTCCCACCTCCTTACCCATCCCCCCAAAGACTTATCCAGCCCCAAATACCAATAGTGCCAACACTGAGACTCCCCAAGAACACATATATTCAGATCTGTGCTCCATTTCCTTCTTTTCTCCCCACACCAATGCTAACGTGTTCTGCCAATTGTTGCCTTCGTTTTCATTAAACGGGTTGGCTTTTCCAGAACAGCACATAAAGGTCTGCCAAGGTTTTATTGTAGCAGCCGTATTTTGTTGCACTTCAAGATGAAGTGTTGACTTATTTACCTGGGCACCTTCTGTATTGGCTCTAGGTTGTTTTGCTGTTGAAAACAGCTGCAGTGAAGACCCTTTTGGCCCTTGTGGGAGCGTAGCTGTAGGAAGAGTTCCTAGAAGTAGAATCTCTGGTCAGAGACCGTGTGTGGTTGACGTTTTGAGAGATACTGCCAAATTGCCCTCTAAAGGGATGCTTCTGATTTATGCTCCCACCAGAAATGTAAGATCGGGTCTCTTTCTCTATCGTTGGTATTTTTTTTCCTCCCTGGTTTCCATTTATAGCCTAAGCTGTCTTAATATCAGCAGAAAAGTTCAAAATGTTGGCAGCAAAGGTGGATTCTGAAAATATTCCTGATATAGAAGGGCAAGGGTAGAAGTAGTCCCGATAAGCCACTATTAGCTAAACGAGAAAGAAGCTCTTCTTTCCTCCCTGTGGAGGAGAGGGAAACTCAAAACGCAGCTGAAAATTAGAGAAAGTTAATTAGATTTGGCTAGACTCCTGAAGGTCTGCTCCCAGGGACCTGATCCCAGCCCCCTCCTGGCTTCTGGTGGTTTCTTGTTAGAATAAACATTAATGTAGCTTATTGACCGGAGAAACCCTAACTGTAAAATGAGGTGCTTTAACCTTCTTTTCATTCCTCTTGATTATGAGTATTTCAGAGTTCAGCCTTTTTAAGCTAAAGTTAAGAGATCGCTTTTACTGTTAGACACATAGTTACGCACATAAACAGGAGTATTCTGGCGAGGTGTAGGTCTCTCTTAATGAACCCTAGGTTTAGAAGGTTAACACAGATATACAAAAGTTAAGGCAAATCAGGAGAAGTTTTCTTTTTTTGTTTTTCTTAAAGATTTATGCGCATGAGCGGTGGGGAGGGGGAGAGGAAGGAGGAGAGCAGCAGAGTCCCTGTTGAACATGGAGCCTGACTTGGGGCTCGATCTCACAACCCTGAGATCATGACCTGAGCCTTAACTGACTGAGCCATCCAGGCGCCCCAGGAGGAGTTTTTTTTACTCACATAGAAGATGGGACTAATACAGGGTTTCTCAGCCTTAGCTGCCAGTTAGAATCATCTTGGGTACTTTTTTTTTATCTTACTATTTTTTTTTAAGTAGGCTTCATGCCCAATGGGAGGCTTGATCTCATGACCCTGAGATCAAGAGTCACATGCTCAACCGACCGAGCCAGCCTGGCAGCCTTTCAGGGGCACTTTATTTATTTATTTATTTCCCCAAAGACTTTATTTATTTATTTATGTATTTGACAGAGACAGAGACAGAGACACAGCGAGAGAGGGAACACAAGCAGGGGGAGTGGGGGAGGGAGAAGCAGGCTCCCCGCTGAGCAGGGAGCCCGAAATGTGGGTTCGATCCCAGGACTCTGGGATCATGACCTGAGCCAAAGGCAGCCACCCAACCAACTGAGCCACCCAGGCGCCCCTGTCAGGGGTACTTTAAAGGGCCAGTGTCCAGACCTTCCCTTAGGCCATTTAATTCACTTTCTCTGGGAGGGGGACCAAGGCATTGGGATTTTTTTTTTTTTTTTTTTTAAAGCTCTATAGGTGATTTCATTGTGCAGCCAAGATGAGCAGTCGGTGCATTAGAAATGGGGATGGTAAATTTTATGGCCTTTGGACCAAATCTAGCCCCCCACCTCTTTTTGTAAATAAAGTTTTATTGGAACACAGTGTCATCAATTTGTTTACATATTATTTATGGCCACTTTGGCATCAGAGCCTATATGGCCTGCAGAGCCCAGTTTACTCTCTGGTGTTTTACAGAAAGTTTGTTGACTCCTGGTAGAGTAGATGGTGTTTTTTTTTTGGTAACTGCTGTGTGGAACATTATTGAGGACACCAATGGAAAGTGGTTTTGTGAGATACTTCTTTGACAACCTTGTACTTAAAAGGCTGCCTTTTCCCTTAGGAGTCCAGCCCGCTTTCTCATTTCTGAAAGCGGAAGTCATGAGACAGGCTTCCTGTCCTTCCCCCCTTTCCTGTCACGTCCGCATCTTAACTGTTGAGACCTCAAGTCCTTCTCGTCCTGCTCTTGAATTGGACGCTTCTGTTTTCTTGCGGTTTTCCTGGCCCTCTTCCTCCTCCGTTTCCACCTTGCTGTTTTATTACTGTTTGACTCCGTGTGTTCTCTTTGTAAGGTGCTTCTCGGGTAAATTTGCATGAAGATTCTTTCCCCCTTCCAAGTGCCTGTGCCTTTACCCCATCCTCTCTGTGAGCATGCCCGGTCCTGTGCACACATACGCACACGGATGCTCCCGCACACGGACACACACACTCCCAGGTGGATATGATTTTAGAGCCTTGAGACCTTTCTCGCAGGACAAGGATGGTATTTGCTTGCTGTAAGCAACTCACACCCCGAATCTCCCTGAGGGCTGCCCCCCCGCCCCCCCGAGTATGTTTTTGGTAAAGGGCCCTTCCTAATCTTACCTTGGTGGGGACCTCATACCGGTGATAAGTCATCGTGGAGCCGTTCGTTGCTCTGGTTAGCTATGAGTGGGCCGGGTGGGGCTCTTGGGAGGCTGCCTCCCTCCAGTCGCTTTAAAGGAACAAATCTGGGGCACCTGGGTGGCTCAGTCAGTTAAGCGGCTGCCTTCGGCTCGGGTCATGATCCCAGGGTCCTGGGATTGAGCCCCACGTCGGACTCCCTGCTCAGTGGAGAGTCTGCTCCTCCCTCTCCCTCTGCCTGCCTCTTTGCCTACTTGTGCTCTCTCTCTGTCTCTCAGTCAAATAATAAATACAATCTTTAAAAAAAAAATAAAGGAACAAATCTGTAGGTATGCAGGGTGAGAGACTGCCCTGTTCCTGGGTGAAGGGGCAGGTGCATGGGTCATGTTGGAAAATGGAAGCGAGAAGAGAGTGAAGGTTTTGAGCAGCCTTCGTAGTCCAGCCCTCAGACTATACCTTGGGCCTCTTGCACAGCCTGCTGGTTGGAGGTGGCACTTGGGGTGGGGTAGCAGGGAGGTGGGGGACGTCTGAGAGTGAGCTCCCAGGTGAGGGCAGCAGGCTCAGAAGTGGCTTCTCATCTTTGTCCTTGATGGATGCCACACGCTTTCCAGCTGTGTTTCTGGGATCGGCCAGGGCAGGGCATGTGCCCGCATTTTCTGCTTGGGTTCCGTTGGAGAGGGAGGGGGCACGCTAGAGGATGGCAGGCAGGGTGGCTGAAAGTGGTCCCTGCCTGTGAAGTCTCATTGCATTCTGGGACTGTGCAGACACCTTCGTTTTATGCCTTTCTCCTGTTTCAGGGGGTACTAGAGGAGGTGGGGAAGGAATTCAAGCAATGCAAGCTCACAGACCCTTGGAATCTGATCTAGTTGGTCATATAAGGAGCCCATGGTCGAAGTGGGGAGGGTGGCCGGACCCTTGGCCCTGAGTCCTCCGTCAGAGCCCTTTGCCTGGGACTAGGGCGAGGAGCTTGCAGTGTATCTGAGTGAGAAGACACAGGTTGAATATCCAGGGCTAATCTGTTCACCTGTCTTCAGATGGATGCCTGGACCAAAAGGAGGAGGTCTGCCTCTCTGGCATTCGCCATCCTTTTCTGACTTGAGCTCCAGTCTCGGGTCGACTAGGAACGAAAAGTGAAGTCTGTGGTAAATGAGGAATCGGACCTCCAGTTATGTGTGTGCGCTCCGGGGTGGCCTTGTGGCAGGGAGGCGCTCAGCGTCTCTTGGGTACAAGCCCTCTCTGATCTGGGCCTGGAGTTAAAAAGCACACTCTGGCCAGACTCGGTGTGACTTTATCTGCTGATACTGAGATTGAATATATTACTGTAACCTTCGGCTTTCGAGCTCCCTAATGACGCGGAGTTCCACAGACAACCATCTGGCTGGGATTGTGCATTTTAAATATTGAAAGCCACCCAGGCGACTGTTCAGCAGACTGGGTAAATCTGCCAAATGTGTTCTCGGGCTATTATCTCCAAATCAGCACGTCGTCGAGCAGATGATGTTGGGACAAACAGTAAGAAGGTTTGAGGTTTCTCTCCCCGCCGTGTTCTAGAGCGCGTGTTTCTGAGAAGGAAGCTAAGTGGTGAGCGTTGCCTGTTCCTCCGGCCAGCGCCTGCCTGATGAGGGGGTGACCATGTCTTCCAGATCGGAGCAAGGCCGAGATGGACCTGAAGGAGCTGAGCGAGTCGGTCCAGCAGCAGACGGCGCCTGTTCCTCTCATCTCGCCTAAGCGGCAGATCCGCAGCAGGTTCCAGCTAAATCTTGACAAGACCATAGAGAGTTGCAAAGCACAATTAGGTATGTCCTTTGGTTTGCTCGCCCAGGCACTGTCACCACCATCACCGTTAACTCTTTGTAGGGTCACGGCCTAGATGAAGCCAGAATTGGACCTTAGCTGCTGTTAGCAGCTGCTTGACCTTGGCCTTGTGTGTGCTACTGAGGTATAGCTCCACTCTGGGCAGAATGTTTCCGATTTGCTAGTTAGTGGTTCAGAAGGGTTCTTTGTGGGTTTTTTGTTTGTTTGTTTGTTTAAGATTATTTGAGGGAGAGAAATCACAAGTGCAGGCGCGGGGCAGAGGGCGAGGGAGAAAGCCGACTCCCTGCTGAGCAGGGAGCCCGATGCGGGGCTCGATCCCCGGAACCTGAGATCATGATCCGAGCCAAAGGCAGATGCTTAACCAACTGAGCCACCCAGGCGCCCCTAGAAGGGTTCTTTGAATTCCACCCAGCTTATTCTCTGGTTGTGGCAGCCTGCAGGCTTGAGGTGCAGGTGGTAGGGGAGTTTGAAAGTGGAAGGATCCTCCTGAGTTTGCCCCTGTGCTCCCTGTCCGTGCACGTCAGGTTCCTACTGTCAGGATCAAGTGTGTTCCACACATGTCCAACACAAACTTTTCTGCTGCGGACTGAGCCCTTCCCACTCGGCACACGCGTCCTGCTTCTATACCTGTTACCTCCCTTCCTCTTCCCCGTGCTGCCTGCCTTCACACTGCCTACGTAAATCCTTTCCCTCAGGCTGAGCTCAGGCATCACCTCCTCCAGGAAGTCTCCTCTGGTTGCCCTCCCCTCCCCATCTGCCGCCTCCTGTGGCACTTTACTGCTTGGAAGCATCAGCAGTCTCTGTGTTGGGGGAGGGGTTCCCTCTGGACTGGAAGCTAGACTGGAAGCTCCTAGAGGACAGGGAGGTTGCCTTATAAGCATTTATGTTCTCCATGGTACTTGGTCTTATGTACATAGTAGATGCTCTGGAATATTCGTTGACTAAGTAAACAAAGCCAGGAGGGTATCTGTAGAGAAGTAGGGGATGGCTGGCCTCAGGAGAGAGAGCCACACCAGGGTGAGGTTTACAGTGTCTGGGTGCTATGGGCCTTGGGATGAGTAAGCTGTAGTCAGGAGTCATCCAGAGGGGCCAGAGGAAGGCATTTCTTATTGGATTTTCTGTTTGGTTAGGACTTTGAATGGCATGGCTGAAATTTTGCAGGCCATTTAAATAATGCGCCTTGGGTCCTTCCATGCAGCTGGTCTAACTCCTTGATTTATTATTAACGTTAATAAGAATTTTAATATTTCTGTTTACTGACTGTTTCCTGCATACCTTGCACTGTACTATGCGCGGTGCATAAATTGTCCTGGGAGGTTGATACCATTATCAGTTCCATTTTGCAGATGAAGAAACTGAAGCTCAGAGAGCTAGGTCACTAGTTCAGTGTCACACAGTGAATAAAAGTGCAAGAGCAAGATTTGAATTCATGTCCTTTGGGCTCTGGTATCCAAGCCTTTCTTATCACAAATGTGGTCACATTTGTACTTGTGTCTGACTGTTAACTACCATAGCATAAGCCTTAGGGGCCCAGAAGTTATACCAGATCTGAGTTTTTGTATTTTGGCTTCTCCTGGTTTGGATTGAGCCCTGGTGGAGGCATATAATTCTATAATGATTTTGCTGGGCTGCTCATGGTTTTTGTCTGTTTGCAGGTTTCCTTTCAGTGTGTCTGGGTCAGGACAGTGACCTCACTCATAGGGGCCATGGCTCTAGAATGAAGACAGTACAGATTGGGTTTTTCTCATTTCAGCATTTTAGGGTATAGTCTTGTTTACCTGTGGCCAGATGACACGCATTATTGGGAGCAGGACACATAAATGGGTTAAATGGAATATGCTTTTGCCCATTTGTGTGTGTGTGTGTGTGTGTGTGTGTGTGTGTGTGTGTGTGTGAGTGAGAGAGAGAGAGAGAGAGAGAGTGAGAAACATCTGCTATGTTGTCATTTTGTCTGGCTTTGGATAGAGATGTGACTTTAGACAGGATGGTGGCTCGCCTCTGCATCAGCTCCGGGAGCAGGAGGGAAGGCTGGGCGCCCAGGTCAGCTGGAGAGATGGTGTGTCCCTGAGGGAAGCAGCCAGTGGCTTCATGGCTCCAGCCAGCCACTTCCTTGCAGGCCTGTAACCCAGAGTGGCCAGATCCTCTGCTCTTTCCACACAAGCCTGCTGTCTTGATTTCTGTGTGAAATTTCCTGACTTGTGAATTGGGCAATATGGTCGTTCTAAGTGAAAAACAAACAAACAACAAAATACCTGCTGGGCCAAGCTCTTGCTTCCTACATAACGTGTGTGCTGGCCAGATGTGGTTTGTGGGCTGTGAGCTGGCAATCTTTGCTTTAAGGCTTTGGCTTGTTTCTTGGAGGCCCAGACACAAAGGGACAAGGACTTGAATGCTTTGGGAGTTCGTGGGAACAGCGCTGGTGGCCCATCAGCAGCCCAGTGTTCTGGCCTTCCCTCTGTCTTGGTTTTCTTTATGTCCTAGGATAAGTGATTTCTCTGGGCCTCTATTTTCTGATCTGTAAAATGGATCCGTTTTAACCGCTCATCTCTGTTGTTCCCTTCAATCCCTCCCACTCTCTACATCCCAGTTAGTTAGCAGTGATGCAAAGATGTAGCTCTGATACATTTAAAATTTACGTTGTCTGGTCCCTTGTCATCTTTGAAGGTCAGTAACTGAAACCCTCTGCAAACCCAAGTTCCATTTGTCAGCTGCAGCTAGCTCACTGGTAACCCCACCAGGCCAGTGTGATGGGATTTGAAATGGTTTTTTTTTTTTTTTTTTTTAATTCCAGCATTTGGCGTGGAAAATGTTTGCGTTTTAGGTCCTGCTCTTTATTTTGTGACTACGCCACATGCTGGGTTTTCTCTTTGAATTTAGGCATAAATGAAATCTCAGAAGATGTTTACACGGCCGTAGAGCACAGCGATTCGGAAGATTCTGAGAAGTCTGATAGTAGCGATAGTGAGTATATCAGTGACGATGAGCAGAAGTCCAAGAATGAGCCAGAAGACGCCGAAGACAAAGAGGGTGGTCGGATGGACAAAGAGCCGTCGGCTGTCAAAAAAAAGCCCAAACTGGCCAACCCTGTGGAGACTAAGGAGGAGCTGAAAAGCACATCACCAGCCAGCGAGAAAGCTGATCCGGGCTCGGTCAAGGAAAAGTCAAGCCCCCAGCCTGAGAAGGACTTTTCAGAAAAAGCGAAAGCCTCCCCTCATCCCACAAAGGATAAACTGAAGGGGAAAGATGAGACCGATTCCCCAACAGTACACTTGGGCCTGGACTCCGATTCAGAAAGTGAACTTGTCATAGATTTAGGAGAAGACCATTCTGGGCGGGAGGGTCGTAAAAATAAGAAGGAACCCAAAGAAACATCTCCCAAGCAGGATGGTAAGTGATCGCACCAGTTTCCGGTTTCTTGATTTGGTTTAGAGTGCCACCTTGCATTTGTATTTCCAGAAGTTACGTGACCCTTTGACGTCACAAAGGGAGGCACCAGAGCAGAGCTTTGATTGGCTCAGGGTCACCGAGCTAAGTCACTGATCAGGCCCAGGACTGACTTCCCCCGGGGCCTGCCTGCCTTTGATCTGCTTAGTACCCAACGTGGTTGATTCTGGTCCCAGAAAAGTAAAAAACGGTAGGTGTTTCTAGCACCAAGCAGAAAAAGTAAAAAACGGTAGGTGTTTCTAGCACCAAGGTCATTTTTAGCCGAAGCACCTGCTTTCCCAAGAGGCTCACTCATTTTCCTAAAGTGTTTGTCAACGTTTAGACATGTGACAAGGTTGATATTGTCAAAAAAGTTCAGTTCAAAGATCTTGAGGAGTTCAGCTCCCTTTCTTCCCTTCATGCTGCCCAGGCACCTCCCCAGTGCATTTTCTTACTGGAATTAGGAGACCACTTGGGGAGGTGGTACCAGGATGCCGAGTGCTTCTTGGGGCTGTAGAAATGGAGAAGGCGTTGGATGGCGGGCACTTGAATTGGTGTTCCTCCACATATGTTTCACTGACCCACTATTAACGTTTTGTGCAGAGTAATACTTTATATCCTGTGCACTGGAGAATGTTTAATAGCATCCTGGGCCTCTGCCCACCGGATGCCAGGAGCATCTGCCCAGTTGTGGCTGTGAGAGCTGTCTTGACATTGCCATTGGTTCCCTGGGAGGCAAGATCTCCTCCAGAAGGAAAGTGTGTATGATGGGAAAGGTGTCCTTCCCATGGACAAAGCAGTCAGCACATTTTCCGTTGGTTTTGGCACGTGGGTAAGAAGGGATTCCAACATGCCCAAGAAAGATATAATTGAAGAGTCAATTGAGGGCCCAGGAAAAACACTGCCTAAGGACAAACTGGATGTTATAGCCAGAAAACTTTATGTACTCTGTGAGTACCCGAAGGGATAGTCAGGCTTGATTTTTTGACCATGCCCAACTGTTGACAGGAGCGGACTTTTCAACCAAACTCTTGAGTAAGATGTGATTCTGAGTCTGGCTGCTTAGAGCAAGTCGGGGATGGGCCTTGAGAATCTTCTTTGTCCTTGCCCACCTGGGATGCTATGGAACCTCAATTGTTAGGGAGCGAGAATTCTTGTAGTTCTTCAGAAGAGGATGGAATGTCTCTGAATGGTGCAGTGCAGGGAGAAAGAGAAGCAGTTGAGTGGGGCAGGGAGGATAGAATAGCACACCATTCCCGGGTCACCTTAGATTTACGGATGGCCTCTGAAAAATCGGATGATGGGTTGTGGATTGGGATTTGAGGCAGATGTGGCAGAAAACAATAGGGGAGTAGCATTTATTCCATGAGGTTTATGGGAATATTTGGGTACAGCAATGGCAGTGCTCCTATGAATGATACAGTTACATTGTTCCTTATTTTCTGGAACATATCTTTGGAGGGATTGGTTTTATGCCCCTTCCCCTTCCAGAAAGGATCTGTAACAGATTGACAAGAATATTTGACCATGAAACAAAATGTAAATAAAGTCTGTAAAAGATGAAAGTAGAATAGTAAGCGGTCTGGGAAAGTTTATGCACAGAAATATGTTCTAGCCTTCAGAGTTAGCATAGTTGGGCTTTCATTTTGGCTGTGAGCTTCCTAGTAGTCAAAGCAACAAAGGAATTACAATCCCTTAAAGGATCTCCTATTTTTCAAAAAAAAAAATCCTAGTTGAGACACAGCTCTTCCTTGCACTGATGTCTGAAGGAAATATGTCTGGGAGACCCCCAAGTGTGTGGTGTGTGTAATTAAGCTGAAGATGATTTTTTTTTTTTTAAGAGATTTTATTTATCCATTTGACAGAGAAAGACACAGCAAGAGAGGGAACACAAGCAGGGGGAGTGGGAGAGGGAGAAGCAGGCCTCCCACGGAGCAGGGAGCCTGATGCGGGGCTAGATCCCAGGACCTTGGGATCATGACCTGAGCCGAAGGCAGACGCCTAACGACTGAGCCACCCAGGCGCCCCAAGCTGAAGATGATCCTAAAACATAATTTGGATAGGGCATTGTCCCAGGGGTTGGGACAAACACCTGCCAGTCTTAAATCTAGAGCCCCCTGATGGTTGTTTGAGTCTTGAAGAATCAGCTTTTTATCAGACTCTGCAGTAGAGCATTTTTTTCAACGTTGTGTTTTCACTTACAAGTTTATTAAGTGAAGGACATTTTGCAGTGTGCCATGGTGACCTTCAGTTCACCTTCAGCTGGGAATGCAGCTTATGTGTAGAATTTGGAGCCTTAGGTAGCAGAACTGCTTTCTAGCTGGTGATCTCAGAATCGAGGCAAAGAGAGAACTTCCATAGAGACCTTGCTGTGCTTACCTTACAACATCAGTAATTTCCATCCTTCTCTTAGAAAGCCCGCCCTTTAGGTACTAGACAGTGACCAGACTCTATAATCAGTAGGTTAATAAGTAGGGGCGGCTTCTGGAATGGTGGCCCTTAAGAGAATCCCTCTTTTCTGGGCTACACAGGTGATTTGATTATACATTCCAAATTTCTAGGACAAATGGAATTTCCTATGGCCTCTTTTTTTCCCTTCTATAAACCGCTAGAATCTTCGAGAAATCAAAATATTTTAGTGTCTAAGTAGTAACCCCAAAGGGTGCCTCGGGCCTAGAATCTTTTTGGATTGCACACTCCAGGTTTTTATTTGGAACAGAGAGCCAGCCATGGCCACTGTAGAGCAGCAACCCATCGGCGAAGCCAGCTGTTTGTTTCTGCAAATCAGTAGAAAGAGGAGGACCTACTGTCTGAGGAGAGGGGCTAGGCTTGGTCCTCAACAGTAACGGGATATTTTTTGGTCACCTGGGAGGAAAGGGAGGCAGGTAAAGTGCTTCTGCAGGTTAGAAACCCCACCGGGGGACCACCTGGTAAACCGCTCCTAGAAAACCTGGGTTCAGAGCCCCCTCCCCACCTGCAAGGTGCAGGGGCTGTATCCAGTGTCTGGTGCGTCATATCATCCTGGGGAAAGAGCAGGGCTTCTCACTGCATGGAGAGCTCCCCTTCCAGCTCCACCTGCGCCCTTGCCTGTGAACTTGGGGGGGACCCAGAGGGGCAGGAGGGCAGAGGAGGTCTATAGGCAGATGTGATGACCAACGAGAAAATTCCCCCGCACTGGAGTCAGGAAAGTCAGCTTTTTTTTTTTTCCCCCCCTCTCTCATTCTCCTTGACTTCCTAAAACCCAGTGTACTGAAAATCCTCCCTAGCCTAATCAAGGTCAGGTCTTTTCTAGGTTACATAAATCTAAAAGAACAGACATAATCCTCCTTCAAAGTTACTTATGTCAAAGTACACTGTCTCCCACGTAGGTGCTGACTTGTACCCGTGTTTTGGGTGTGATCCACGGGCATCCTCTGGGGGGGGCAGACCCACCCCACCGGTGGCTGGGACCTCTGCAGTGATACCTGACACCCCCTGCCCCCCCTTTACAGATGAGCGCAATGGGGCCACCCCTTCTGGGCTGCTCAGTGCTTCTGGCTCTAACCCGCCTTCCCGCCACTCCTCACTGCCTGCTCTCACTGACCGAAATGCTGCCTGTTCCTAAACACGTCTTGGCTGATGCTCTCACCCCCCCAAACTCTCAATTCTGCCTGTTGAAGTCCTACCCCTCCACCACACCCGCCCCCTCCCAGAAGACCGACTGTGGAAGGCAGCCTTTTCCAAATCTGTCATTCACAGTTCATTAGTTTGGCCATTCCCAAGTCCTGCTTGTATAATTCTTGACTTTATGTTTTTATTTAAAGCAATTTACGCTTTACAGAAGAATTAAGCTCATTTTAGATGTAGATTTGACCACTGCACAAGAGGTAAACCGTATTGCGTGATAAACGGTGGGAGCGGGAATACAGTCAGAGTAAAAGCAAGGCGTATACTAACCATGGTGAGCACTCAGTAATATGTAAGCATCGTCGAATCACGATATTGTACACCTGCAACAAATAGAACACTGTGTGTTCACTGTATTGGAATTAAAATAAAAAAAAATAATAAGACAACAGTAGCAACAACCATAGCAACAAACGCAAGTCTCCTGACTTAGAGAGCAATACCATTGTGTTGGGAAGGTTCTGGCCATGGGGTCGAATTCCCTTTAGTGTTAGGTGTCAAGGCCATTAGCAGCACACTGGGACTTTGTCCCGGAGGGAGTCAGAGGTCAAGGGAGACTTTCTTTCTGGGTGACTTCATGGTGTTCAGTGCTCTGGCCTTTGGGAAGTCACCTGATTCTTGGGAGTACATGCTTTATAGGTTCCCTAGTCAAAGGGATTGTCTTCATCTCTGGATCGACTTTGGCTGGGTCTTTCACAAAGTGCTTACCTGGCTCTAACTATAAAACAAACCACGTGCAGTCATTTTGTTCATCCACTTGATGGTGGGCAGCTTGAGGGCAGGGGCTGGGTCTAGTTCACCCCATTTCCCCCAGAGGCCCTGATAGGAGTCTCAGATGTGGGCAAGTGCTCACAAGAAAAGGCCGACACTCTGAGGAAGATGTGCAGAGGCATGGCACCCTCTTTGCCTAGGGTGAGATGTGCTCCTCCATTGGGGGATCCTTGCCCTACTGAGTTCGGCATTTGTGGCTGGCCTTGCTCCCTTTGACCCAGAATGTACTGGCGTAGACAGACGCTGCGGGCCAGCCTGAGTCCAATCTCCACTTTTTGTTTGTTTGTTTTCATGCATCGGCTTTAGTTGTAGGTAAAGCTCCACCATCCACCACAGCGGGCAACCAGTCCCCACCTGAAACTCCGCTCCTCACCCGTTCCTCCTCCCAAACTCCCACGGCTGGTGTCACGGCCACCACCAGCACCACGTCCACCGTCGCGGCCCCGGCCACCGCCGCCGCCACCGCCACTGCCGCTGCCGCCGCCACCACCACGGGAAGCCCGGTGAAAAAGCAGAGGCCGCTTTTACCGAAGGAGACTGCCCCGGCCGTGCAGCGGGTCGTGTGGAACTCGTCAAGTAAGTTTCAAACGTCTTCCCAAAAGTGGCACATGCAGAAGATACAGCGCCAGCAGCAGAACCAGCAGCAGAACCAGCAGCCTCAGTCTTCCCAGGGGACGAGATATCAGACCAGACAGGCTGTGAAAGGTACCATGCCCCCTTCTGTTCACCGTGGCGCCCACTCCCTTCTGGCCACATCGACAGGAGAGACAGAATTGTTTTCTTTCTTTTTCTTTTTTTTTTTTCAGTTCCTTTTTGTTTTGTGGCCGTCCTATCTTGAAGGCCTCGCGCATCCCATGTGGCATTATTTTTAAAGATTGTTTTGCGACTTGTTTTTTCACTTTTATTTTTTCCCCCCTCCGTTGTTAGAAACGATACATGCATATAGGCTTCTTCGAAAGGGGTAAAATATTTGCCTCGCAATCTGTTGTCTTGACCGAACTTCCATTTCATTCTTCACCCTTTCTCAGTGGCCACTGTTAACCGTGAAACCTTTTTTATGCATGTATGCATATATATTTACGTATATATGACTCTCCATACAAATACTTTTTTTTCTTTTTCCTTTTTTTACAACATAAAAATGGTACCATACTTGCTTTTTTATTTTTCTTCTTCCTTTTTTTTTTTTTTTTTTTTTTTACACCCATCAGCATGTTTTGGAGGTTCATCCATGTTAGTACATGATAGCTCTATCTATGTTATTCTTTTGGACTGCTGCATAGTATTCCATAGTTGATTTAAATCAAGTATTCCCCTGCTGATGAGCATTTAGATTGCTCCCAGTTTTTTTCTGTTGTAAGCAGTGCTGCAGTGAATACCTTTGTATAAGTTTTCTTGTGCCCACCCGTGAACCTCTTGGCATTATTTCGGGAAGAAGACAGTGTGAGGAGTTGGTAGCAAAGGGTACCTTAATCACTAGGGATTAGCCACCTCCAGAAGAACAGTCAGCATCAAGCACCAGTGGCTGAAGTGGCTCGATCTGGTGCTGCTCAGATGAGTACCCGTCGGCCCATCTGTTGTGAGCGCTGGTGCTGATCTTGTCCCGCAGGGAAGCCCACCATCTAGATCCTTGGAGGTGGGGGTCTTTGGTTGAAACTCTCACATACTGAGTGTGCCCTAGTGAGTAGAGCTGTAAAGAGCTGCAGCTGTGGGTTGAAAGTTAGCCAGGTCTTGAACAGCCCCAAAGAACCCCCGGAAGACTGTGGGAAGGAGGACTGACAGATTGGTCAGGCGCGGTGGGAGTGCAGCTGGAGTGCTCTTGGAATTTAAAGAGCTAGTGGGGCGGGAGTGAATCTAGGATATTTGAGATTGGGATGACGAGTTCCAGTTTTTTCTGTGGCTGTACCCCGTAAGAATTATGAGCTTCCCCAGGGGAACGTAGGTGCTGTCAAGAAGAGACCCATTGATGGTATGATTCTCAGTTTCCAGACTGTCTTAGGTCAAAGACAAACAAAGCTGGATACTAGTGAAAGTGGTAAGGACTGGTTTTAATCAGTATATGTTACTATGATAGGGAGAAAAAAGTCCAGCATGAACTGACGTCAGTCCCAATTTCTACAGAGTTGACTGGGTGTTTTAAAGTGGGGGGGTAGGGAAGGGGCTGAGTGGGCACTCCAGTAGAGTCAGGGACATGAAATTTTACAAAAAATGGGAAGTGGGGGGTTGGTTCATGTGAAACCCACGTGGGGTTGCTAACTGATGCTTCTTGAAGTTAGGCTCCTATCCTCCCATAGAGACTGGGAGACCGGGGCCAAAGGGTATTGGCTGGAACAAATAGTAAATTCATTTGGCAGCCTTGTTGTCTCAGGTAGGCACTTTTAGGGGGGGTCTGGGGTCATCCTAGGGGTGCGGCCTTGAGCTGTCAGAAACCAGGTTAGTGTTTACACAAGGCTTTACAGGCCAAGCTTGAGGCGTCATCCCAGAAGAGGCTGAGAGGGTCCTGGCCAGAGTCTGGTCAAGGGGAGAATGTCTGTCACTTGAACGTAGACACGCTCAAAGGGTGTATGTCAGGGACTTCACTCCCTCTGCACAGCTTTGTGCTGGGTCGGGCCTTTCCCATGACAGTGGGGTGACCAGGACGCTTTGCTTTCCCAGCTGTGCAGCAGAAGGAGATCACGCAGAGCCCATCCACCTCTACCATCACCCTGGTGACCAGCACTCAGTCGTCGCCCCTGGTCACCAGCTCAGGGTCCACGAGCACCCTTGCATCCTCAGTCAGCGCAGACCTGCCCATCGCCACCGCTTCTGCTGACGTCGCTGCAGACATTGCCAAGTACACTAGCAAAGTGAGTGCCAGTAGCACCCGAGGGTGGGGGTGGGGGCTCAGAGGACCCACTTCCTGACGGGAGCCAGAAGGGTCTTGACCTTGCAGGCTTTCCAGGGTGCTTCAGAGGGGAGACCCTGTTTTTCTTGAGGCTCTCCAAGCCCACATTCTTCCATTTGGGTCTAAGGTTGGATCCAAGCAGAGAAATCTAGAATGCACTGCATCTTATTCTGAGGGCTTTGATGCTAAAGTCAGTATACAGCAGAAAGGTGACATGGCGTCAGAATTACCCTTCAGAATTCAGGGCACTCATCGAGATGGTTTCCTTAAGCGCTGGAACAGGTTACTGTTCCGTCAGTTAATAACTAACAGACCCAGGGGTTGGTTTGCATCTAGAAGCCACGTGGAACAAGGGGACGGAATCGTAAGCATGAGATGTGTAAGGTACGACGCTCACATGTAGGTCTTTCTAGGAACCAAGATGGGCTAGGGAGTAGTGGCCTCCCTCCCGACGCGCCCACCCTCAGGGGGCATGGTGGCCGGAATCCCCTTGGTGGGTTCATTTGTGGGTGTTCTCTCCTGCAGCCTCTTTCTCTGAATTTGCCAGGTGTTTCTGTGCTCATTGTTGAATTCAGGTGGATACATCCTGCAGCTCTTCTCACCGTCCCGTGAGAGTGCTCTGGCGTTTTTGTGCGTGTCCATGCAACATGCTGCTTCATAGCAGAATAACCACAGGCTGTCAGCTCCGCGAGAGCAGTATCTTGTCTGTTTGGCTTACCTCCAGGGCCTAGAAATGTGCCCAGCACACAGTAGGTGTCGACACAGAGCTGTCGAGTGAATGCATTTGGGTGCCTGACGCCTCTTCACCAGGCTTGTTACTCTCAGTGGCTATTAATAGTAGTTAATGAGTAATAACCTTGGAAGAGTATTTAGTATATGACTAAGCAAGCAGTAGTAATAATTTACTCTTCGCAAATGAGTACATTACTAATTAGTGATGAGTAAATTATTCAGGTTTATAGAAAGAGTGGGTGACAGTGTTTGGGAATAGTTGGATCTTGAATTCTTGAAGTCTTTTAATAAAGAGTTGCATTATTATGTTGGACGGATGTTCAGTGTCCATGAACTCATTGTTCTTGCACTTGGCTTTTTTAAGCAACCCTACCTAACATCCCCCTGCTTCCCCAGTGTCCCCCTCACCCCAGCTAAAATCAGAACTGGTCTCGGGGATGACTTTGTCTCTCATTTACTATGTCTGTCCCCCTTTTGAATAAAATGCATGGATTGTTAGAGAGTCACTGAGTGTCAGAACAGCCAGGATTCAAGGTGTAGTCATTTATGGCCATTCGCAAGATTTTAGTCTTACCTGTCCACCAGTGAGTTATTGATATAATATTTTTATTTAAGTTAAATTTAACTTTATTTAAATTGACTTCGTTGAAGAACTAAAATAAAATTGAGCTTAACATTGTCAGATCACCTTCCTTGTCATGACTTGAAGCCCAAGTCTTTGTTCCTTTGGTTAAAAAGAGAGATTGTCATATAAGTGTTTGGTACATACTGGCACTGAACTGAGACTTTCTTCCTAATGGGATGTGCAGAGTTACAGGAGAATGGAAAGGGGGGGTCATGTTTTCATTACTGATTGACGAAGGTGTCTGGTATTGTCTAAATAGTCTCTTGTTCTGCTTGTAGTCCAGCCTTATACCACCTTCCATTGATTTGGTGCAAGCCGCCTATTTACAGATGGGGAAACTGATGCCCGCTGAGTGAGCTCCATTGCATTTAGTTTTATTCCATTTTCTGAGCTCTTGCATTAGTTTTATTCCATTACCTTTGGCTGCCCCTTTTGCTCTTACAGCAAAATTGAGGGATGAACTTCTTCATAGATATTGTCTTTACAGTTAAGAAAATGAACACAGTGAAATATTTTTGGAGCTGATGAACTTTCCTGTCTCCAAGGTGACCCGGAGTCGAAGACCCAGATTTGTGTGTTTTGGCAGAAGGGTGCTCTTTAGTAATGTTGCGTCCTTTGCTATATTTGGAAGAAAGAGTGAAAGTCCGTCCACAAATCACAAATCCATGATTTCTTTAAAATGGAATGTAGCCATTGCATTAGTAATGTATTGAATTTCATCCGCTTTCTAAAGTTTTCTTGTAAAGCCATTTAGTTTTAATACTTTAAATTGACATGGTTGGTGCAGCGGGGCAGGAAAGCCTATGCAGAGCGACTGCATGAAACACAAAGTGTTTTTCTCTGGCAGCGTCCATGTGTGGCCCCCGAAACAAATTAGGAGTGGAAATCTCCAGACATCGTATTCATTTTCTTCCCACTTTGGGGTGAATTTGGGGGTTACTATTTTTGGGGGTTGGCAGTTTCATAGTTAAACCTCGTGTGAATTTTTTTTCTGTAGAGATAAGATAAACAGGTATTTCTGAACACCTGCCCTGGACCACAGTCTTCACTCTTCACACGGCTTTCTCACGCAGCCTTTGAGCACACCCTACCTGGGGTACTGCAGTTATCCTTGTTTTCTGTATGGAGGAACCACGGCTCAGAGAGAGGGTGATGATGATGGGAGCAAATCTCGGGCGTCAGAGACAGGGGTGGTCTGTGTCTTGCCTTCTCGCTGGATTGGAGCAAACCGCAAAACACAGTGGAGACTTGGCAGTGACCAGGCCATGCTTAGAGGCCTCGTTTGGTCTCCTGTCCCCTCCTCTTTCTCCTGTGATACGGGCGTGGGATCAGCCAGCAAGTGGGAGGCAGGAGAGAAATCATCCTGCAGACACTATTCAGTCAGTAGATAACTAGGTGCTTGCTGCGGGGACCTGAGCTGATGCCACAAACTTGCTGATGCCGTCAGGGCTCAGATTCTTAAAGCAAAGGAAGAGGGGAAGCAAACTGGAGAGGCAGTGAATGAATGCCCTGACCCTCCAGATGAGCCTGTGGCTACAGAAACTAGCTTTATTTGTAGGTGATTCATTACTCCCCTGGTTTATACCAGTTCCTCAACCTCAGCACCGGTGACATATTGGCCTGGAGAAGTCTTTGTTGTGGTGGCTGTTCTGTGCGCTGTAGGGAATTTAGCTCATCCTTGGCCTTCACCCAGTAGATGCCATCTTCCCCCTGCTCCCCTGCTGCTTCCGCCACGACAGCCACAAATGCCAAATGTCCTGTGAGGGGCAGAATAGCCCCCTGTTGAGAACCCCTGCTTTATGTTAGATTTTAGATGTCTGTCCTCTTGAAAAGCCTCAGGGAAGTGATCACCCAACTTGTTTCTGTTTTTATCTTTCAGATGATGGATGCAATAAAAGGAACGATGACAGAGATCTATAATGATCTTTCTAAAAACACTACGGGAAGCACAATAGCCGAGGTCAGAGATGACACATAATTCCTTACTTGCTGAGAATGTTTTATGGGCTGCTGTAAAATGGTGCCAGCAAGCAGATTGCTCTGGAAGTCCCTCCAGGGTGCTCTGCCGATTGTGGTTGTTGGGGAGGGTACTTCTTCATTTAGCCAGAAGGCTGGCTCTATGGGGACACACCCTGCTTTGTGTGATCAGAGGACAGCCCACACTGGAGCCTGAGTTCACCCCCTGGTCTGTTCCTTTGGCCCCATGTGTAATTGTCTCTTGGCTCTCTGTAAATGTGGACTTTTTTATCCAAGTGATTATTGTTGTCTAAGAATTCGTGTCCTGAGAGCCTCCACAATCATGTGGTTGCCTAGGGAATGGAGTGGTTAAGACATTAAATTGTCCACTTATAAGTGACCCTTTATAAAAATAGACCTCCTTGAACTTCCTTCCTTAGGCTAATTCACTATGAGCCAGATGCAGAGGGGTTACCAGGTGAAATGATGAGTGGCAGGGTTTCTTGAGGTCATTCAAAGTGGCGTTGGAGACCGGGAAATTCCACACAAGCTATTGACCTATGAGGGCCTGGCAGGGTTAGGATGCCCCTCAGAAGAAGAGAAAATCTCTGGGAAGGTGTCCTAATAGGCTTTTGATGGAGAACGATGTGAATATAAAGCTTTGAGAGAGGTCCTGAGAGGAATCAGTGAGTCCCCTGAGATTTTTTGCTCATGTGACCCTCTTTGTGATTGAGCCAAGGATGTCACAAACAAGAAGGGATGATATTGACTTAGAAAAACACCCCTCTCCCCAAATACTTCATTGTTTTTTTGTTTGATTTAAGAATTGGCCTGTGGTTGGAAAAACAGATCCATAATGTCTCACTTGAAACCTTGGGGTCCAGATGTGTGCCAGAAATTTTCAGAATTTAAAGAGGCAATATGCACCCCCGCCCCCAACATTTCTGCTGTGAAATATGCTTGTCCACACCTTGTGGGATAAATCAGGGTTTCTCAACCTCAGCACTGCTGACTTTTGTGCCAGATAATTCCCTGTTATGGGGGCTGCCCTGTCCATCATAGGCTGTTCAGCAGCACCTTGGCTTCTGCCTCCTGTCGGCAGTAGCACCCCTCAGTTGTGACATCCTGGATGTCTTCAGACATTGCAGTGTCCTGGAGGGAGCTGGGAGGGCAACATTGCCATTGTAGGGAAGCACTGTGGTTCTCAAACTCTGTAAATAGCCCCATAGCAGTTCAGGTCAAGTTATTTTTTTCCCTCCAAATGACTTTCCTGCAACACTTAACTCCTTCCTCCAATAATACCCTTTGGTTTCCAGAGACTTTAGACTTTGGAATTTCAGGTGAATGACTGTGGATCCCACCTAAAATGTTAGATAAGAGATTAAGTATCTTTATTTGTTTTAGTTTCTTTCTTTCTTTCTTTCTTTTTTTTTTAAAGGTTTCATTTGTTGATTTGACAGAGAGCGAACACAAGCAAAGGGAACAGCAGAGGGAGAGGGAGAAGCAGGCTCCCCACTGAGCAGGGAGCCCGACGTGGGGCTCAATCCTAGGACTCTGGGATCATGACCTGAGCCGAAGGCAGATACTTAACCAACTGAGCTACCCAGGCGCCCCTAGTTTCATTTTTTTAGACCAAAGTTCTAATCAAACCTTTTATGTTTTAATTTATTATGAAAATCTGGTCCTTGTTTTTACTTAATTCATTCATTCATGTTTAAAGTACACTCTCTGCCCAGTGTGGGACAACCCCAAAATCAAGAGTCGCCATGCTCTAGCAACTGAGCCAGCCAGACCCCTCCCCCCCCCCCCCTGCTTGTTTTTACTTGAAGTGGCTTTTCCTGGAGCCAGTATTTCTTGGAAAAGATGGACTGCTTGTATCGTTGGCCCTTGAAAAATGGGTTTGAACTGTGCTCATCTATTATATGTGGATTTTTTCCAGTGCAGTACTGTAAAATGCATTTTCTCTTTCTTGTGATTTTCTTAACATTGTCTTAAGCTTACCTAATTGTACGGATACAGTATCTAATACACAGAATGTATGTGTTCATCAACTGCTTATGTTTTTGGTAAGGCTTCCTGGTCAAGAGTAGGCTATTAAGTTTTTGGAAAGTCAAAAGTTACATGTAGATTTTTGACTGCATGAGGGTGCTAGCGCCCCTAACCACTCTCCCGCCGCACGTTGTTCAAGGGTCAACTGTATTTGTTTTTGGAAACAGAATTCCTCTTGAATTTGGGTTAACACACTGGTGCCCACCTCTCTGGACTGCAGCAGCTAGGCTGCCTACGCCTCGATCCACCATGTGGCATTGACTCTTACAGCTGGAGGTCAAGTTCTGAGCCCTGCTGGTGAATGCCACCCAGACATGCCTTCTAAGAGTCCCACTCCCCCTCGTTACAGATTCGCAGGCTGAGGATCGAGATAGACAAGCTGCAGTGGCTGCACCAGCAGGAGCTCTCTGAAATGAAACACAACCTGGGTGAGGCCCGGCGGATTGGTCCGCACTGAGGATGGTTTTGGGGTGTGAGCTTCTATGCAGCTCTGGACGCAGGTCCAGGGTTTGAATTGAGTCTGCAGTAGGCTGGGGATGTCCCAGTGCTGGGGAGACCACAGAATCCTGGAGAGTCGAATCAGGTGTAAGAGCAGGTGTGAGGGGGTATTCTCCTCTTTTCTCTTCAAGATCCCAACATGTGTAGCTAAATAGTAACAACAGCAGTAACTCCGTGTACTGAACTCTGGACTTTGGGCCAGGAACTGTTTTAAGTACTTTTCCTTGAATTAACTTTGAAGTTAATTCCCCTGGAAACCCTTCTGAGAAAGGGCTCTGCTATCCCCATTTTCAGGTGAAGCAAGTGAGGCATGGACACATTGAGGAAGTTTGTTGGAGTCTGACAGCTGGGATTCAGGCTCCAGCACTGTGGCTCTAGATGTTTCCTTCTACCTGTTGAATATTGGGCATTTTAACAAAGTCTCGAACACCTCCTTTGTGCCCCACACTGTGGAGGAAGCTTCTTTGTTGCTCCCTGGTTCAGACTGAGTGCTGTTTTGGCCTGCCATTGTGTCCATGTTGTTAAAGGCTTTCCCCGCAAAGGTAGAGCATTTTCCTTCAGACCATCATGTAGTGTCAGCCCCAGAATCCAAATGCTGGCTCGGGTCCCCAGTGCTAGGGAGGCAGGCCCAGGTGTGCCCGCCTGCTCGCAGGTGATGCGTGTTGAAATCATGCATTGCAAATGCAAATCCTTAGGAAGCCGACCGGGGAAGTTAGCCCTCTGTCCCTTAGCGGGTTGCCATGGAGGGAGTTTAGTTGGATGTTGTGGCTTCTTGTTTCTCTAATAAAGTCAAGGAATCTATTTTTATGCAGAATCTCTCTGTTTTTAAATAATTGGCTGCACGTTTGAAAAAAAATACACGAAGGCTGGCCAGAACTTGCCGTGGTCTGCAGGCTCTTCGTTAAAGGCAGCGGTGAGGGACGGAGAGGCTGTGTCTGGCGCAAGTGCAAGGGGTTAATTTCCTTTTTGGTGCCTTTTAAAAATTTTAATTAATTTTGAGAGAGCGAGAGATTGCACGTGTGTGAGAGAGCCAGGGTGGGGAGGAGCAGAGGGAGAGCGAACCCTAAGCAGACTCCACACCCAGCATGGAGCCTTGATGCAGGGCTCATGACCCGAGCCGAAATCAAGAGTCGGAGGCTTCACCGATTGAGCCACTCGTGGTTTTGGGGGGGGGGGGGGGGGGGGGTGTGTGTGTGTGTGTGTGTGTGTGTGTGTGTGTGTGTGTGTGTGTTTTGATTTCAGGGAGAGAATTCTGACGATCGAAGGATCCTTTATTTTTCTGTTGGCGTGCAGGTCACCCCTAGGTGAACTGTGCATGGACTTCTTGTCTCAAGTGACAGGAGGAAGTATCAGCAGACTGAGCGGTTTGATGGTTGATCAACCATAATGATCCATCACGAGATCCTGTGTGGTAGATTTCACCCACTGCCACTGAACACACTAAATAGAAAGCGTGTCCGAGTTCCAGGGCCAGCTCTGTCCTTATTAGCCGTGTGCCTCAGTTTCCTTATCCGTGAAAGGGATATTACAGTAGAGCTTGTCTCACAGAGTTAGTGTGAAGATGAAGCGAGTTGATACAAGGTGGTCAGGACAGCACCTGCACGTATATGCTGGGTGCTTTTGAGTGTTTGGTTGCAAACACACTGATAAAATTCAAAGTGAGCTTAGTGGAAATCGCTTTGAAGATTTCTCTGAGGGCTTCCCGCAGAATCACGGCGGGGCTCTGGTTATCTGCAGGTATTGGGGCGTAGGCAGGCTAGCTTACTCGCCTGGGGCTCACACAGCCGAGGCACCTCTGAGCCAGGATCCGCACCCGTGTCTGTTGGAACCCGTATCCTGGACTCCCTTTCTGACCTGGTGTGAAAGGCTCCCTGCCCTGGGCCGGGGGACTGGTGATGAAGCTGGTGTCCTCCTTCCTCCCCTGTCAGAGCTGACTATGGCGGAGATGCGGCAGAGCCTGGAGCAGGAGCGGGACCGGCTCATTGCTGAGGTGAAGAAGCAGTTGGAGCTGGAGAAGCAGCAGGCGGTGGACGAGACCAAGAAGAAGCAGTGGTGCGCCAACTGCAAGAAGGAGGCCATTTTCTACTGCTGCTGGAACACCAGCTATTGTGATTACCCCTGCCAGCAGGCTCACTGGCCCGAGCACATGAAGTCCTGTACCCAGTCAGGTATGGCCACGCGGGGTGCAGCCCGGCCCAGGCCCCGGTGGGGTGGGCGTCCGGCTCCCCCCTGGCCCCCAGGGCAGACTGGTGTGGCCCGGTTGGCCTGTCCCTTGCCAGTCTCGTGCAGACACCGAGCCAACACGTGAGGCCCAGCTGTTTGAACTTTTGGCCTCCTCTCTGTTACTGGGCTGAGTGTAGCTTCGTGTGAGGCGTAGTGGTTCTCAGCGGGGTGATTTTTGGTCCCCACCCCACGACACTGGCAGTGACTGCAGGCAGTTGTGGTCGTCCTAATCGAGGCGGTCGCTGCTGACATTCAGGGGGGAGAGGCCGGGGCTGTCCCGCCAAGCATCCTGTAATGCACAGGACGGCCCCCCTCGATGAAGAATGATCGGGCCCAACATGGCCAATTGCACTAAAGTTGAGAAATCCTGTTTTTAAAGTAATACTGGACTCCTAACTCTAAGTAACATGGATTCCCAATTCTCATGTGAAGGAAGCAGTGTTGGTTTGGAACTATACTTTGTCCTCTCTTTCCAACACAGAACAAGCAGCCCTCAGGCGAGGAGCCTCCAGCAGGACACACTGTCCGGCTAGAATTGATTAGTAATATTTTCAATGTTAGTTTTTACAGTTAGCATTTCTTTCTTTCTTTTTTTTAAGATTTTATTTATTTACTCGTGAGAGACAGAGAGGGAGAAAGAGGGAGGGAGGCAGAGGGAGAAGCAGGCTCCCCAAGGGGCAGGGAGCCCGATGCGGGACTCGATCCCAGGACCCTGGGATCATGACCTGAGCCGAAGGCAGACACGTAACCATCTGAGCCACCCAGGCGCCCAGTTAGCTTTTATTTCTGACAGATACTAGCTTTATATGCTTAGCCTCCTTTTTTTTTGGGGGAGCGAGGGTGAGCAGGGGAAGGGGCAGAGGGAGAGAGAATCTTTTTTTTAAGATTTTATTTATTTGACAGAGAGACAGCAAGAGAGGGAACACAAGCAGGGGGAGTGGAAGAGGGAGAAGCAGGCTTCCCTCGGAGCAGGGAGCCTGATGCGGAGCAGGGAGCCCGATGCGGGACTCGATCCCAGGACTCCGGGGTCATGACCTGAGCCGAATGCAGACGCTTAACAACTGAGCCACCCAGGCGCCCCGGGAGAGAGAGAATCTCAAGCAGGTTCCGCTCAGCGCAAAGCCCAGTTCGGGGCTCGATCTCATGGCCCTGAGATCATGACCTGAGTTGAAATCAAGAGTTGGACACTTGGGGCGCCTGGGTGGCTCAATCAGTTAATTGTCTGCCTTCAGCTCAGGTCATGATCCAGGGTCCTGGGATCGAGCCCCGCATCAGGCTCCCTGCTCAGCGGGAAGCCTGCTTCTCCCTCTCCCACTCCCCCTGCTTGTGTTCCCTCTCTCACTATGTATCTTCTGTCAAATAAATCTTAAAAAAAAAAATAATTCATTTAATTAAAAATGCTATAGTTAATAAGGTAGTGTGTCTGGGGGCACCTGGGTGGCTCAGTTGTGAAGCGTCTGCCTTCGGCTCAGGTCATGATCCCAGGGTCCTGGGATCGAGCCCCACATCGGGCTCCTTGCTCCGCGGGAGGCCTGCTTCTCCCTCTCCCACTCCCCCTGCTTGTGTTCCCTCTCTCGCTGTGTCTCTCTCTGTCAAATAAATACATAAAATCTTAAAAAAAGAAAAAAAAGTAAGGTAGTGTGTCTGTTAGACTGGCGAACTTTTTGAAGGTGACATGTGAGTGACCAGGATCGAGAAGCACTCCCAAGGCCAGAGGTTGGCAAACGTTTCCTATGAAAGGTCCACAGAGTAAATATTTCTGGATTTGTGGGCCATGTGGTTTGTTGCAACTGCTCTATTGTGATTTGGAGAGAACGCAGTCCTAGACAATATGTATGTGGTAGGCGTGGCTGTGTTCCAATAAAACTTTATTGACAAAAATAGGAGGTGCTAGTATGCCAACTCCTACTCTAGACAGATCTTCTGTTATTTCGTTATTTTAAAAAAGGCAATATTGAACCATCCATTGCTGGGTCCTTTTACCTTTAGGGAGATGTCTTCTTAATGGCTACTTTAAATTTCTTCCTGCAGGGGAGTTAAATTCTCCTCTTAAGTTCTGGAATGTGTCTGACGACCCTTTTGTTGTCACTGTTACAAGATGGCTAAAATGTCCTTGCGTGTTCCTTTGTTTGCGGCATTATAATGTCCATCTTTCAGAACTTCCTCTCAGACGCTCCAAGCTTCTACCTTCTCTAGAAACTCTCTGCCGTAGACACCATGTTGTTTTTCACGTGAATTTCCCTGCCTTGCTTTGGAAGGAAGCAAGTGCCCGGGGCTAAAATAGGACTAAAATGAGAAATTATGGAATGAGTAATTCTAGATCAGTGGTGACAGGCTGGCTCTGCTGATGGGCTTCATCTGCTCTCCCACCATGCTTTCGTCTCCACAGTGACTTCATAAAACTTGAATTAATGAACTGTTAAAAATTAACCTATTTTCACACTACGTCTGGAATTTCAGCTTCTAGAAAACTGGAAAAGCCCTTGGGCGGGACTGTGCAGCAGCTGCCTCTGTTACAGATGGTGGGTGGGTCAGCGTTGTTCTGGGCTTGGTGCAGAGAGGGGCTTCCTGCCGTTCTGGAAGCCGTGGCGCTCGGCTCATACGTGGCTTCTCTCTCCCTTTCCCCCCAGCTACGGCTCCTCAGCAGGAAGCAGATGCCGAGGTGAGCGCAGAAACGCTAAACAAGTCATCACAGGGGGGCTCTTCCAGCACACAGGCAGCCCCTCCAGAAACAGCCAGCACCTCGAAAGACAAGGAGACGTCGGCAGAGAAAAGCAAGGACAGCGGGTCGGTGAGTAGCCGCTCGCCTTTGGCCAGTGATGCCAACACTTCGGGCCACACGGAGTCTCAGCACCGGTCCCCATGCCTGCCACCTCTGCAAGTCCCATGTGGGTAGGAGGTTTTGTCTGCAAGGTGGTCAAGGCAGCCTGCTGCTGGGGGTGATAGTCTTAGCTGCTTTTCACCAGTGGGCATGTGGGCCAGGCCGGAGGGACGTGGAGCCCGAGTGGACGTTTGTGTGCCTTGGCAGCTGCTCTCCGGGGACTCTCAAAGTCTACAACACTGTGGTCCAGTAGAACCTTCTGTGATGACGATAACGTTCTGTGTCTGCTCTGCCCAGCATGGCATCCACTAGCATCATGTGGCTGCTGAGCGCTCACACCCTGGCTGGTGAGAGCAAAGACTCGCACTCTCAATTTCAATTTTAATTAATTTAAATATAAATAGTCACATCAAGCTAGTAGCTGCCGTATTGGAAAGCGAAGGTGGCACCTCCTAGTTCCCAGTGTGTGGTGTATGTCACAGGGATTGTATGCAGAAGTTATTTTCGGTGGCACATTGATAATGTTTTACATTTGTAGTCATTATGTATTTCAATGTGTATTAAGAAGAGAGTAAGTCCTTATGCCATCCATCCAAACCCTTTGATTTCATTGATAATATTGCCTGGTAAGTGGTTAATGTGAAATAAACGTGAGCTGGATAATCCTTTTGAAGGAATATACCTCCTCTTTGGATGTGGGCAAAACTCTGGAGGGTAGGTATGTCAGTGGAGGAAGTTGAGGAAACAGTGAATGTTCTAGAAGCTAAGGCTGTAGAGTTGAGTAAGGGGCCACCCTGTTACTGGGTTCCAGCCTGTTCATTCTGGGAGACGGAGCACAGGTGTAGGGCCACCCCCGCTGACCTGGCCTCCACCCCCATGGATCCCTAGGCTTCCCTGGGGGGCTACATTGGCCCCCGTGCCTTGTGTCCATCTCTCTCTTTTTGTATTTTTAGACCCTCGACCTTTCTGGCTCCAGGGAGACGCCCTCCTCCATTCTCTTAGGCTCCAACCAAGGCTCTGGTATGTTGCCCCCTGGTGGGTGAACGGTGCTCTCACAACTCCTCCCGGGCAGAGGGGAAGCCATTTTCTCAGGGAGAACTTTTAAGGGTTTATGGCAGTGGTTTTCCATCCACTGTGGATCCTTAGGGATCTTTGGGGGTGCCCTGGGCAGGTCACTGGGGGGTGAGGGAGTGGCCGGGCAAGGCAGCTTTCAGGCACCTCTCCAAACTGATCAGTTTTTCCCTGGGTTTGTTTTGTTTATTGGGGTTCCGCATAAAAGTTCATTCGAAAGGAGGGTTCTGTTGCTGACCTGGGGTGGGGTAGAAGGTGTGCATGTTAGGTCGGGCAGTTCTTCTGCCCTCAGGGAAATGACCACAGTGAGTGAAACCATCTGGAACTCTTTTCCTGAGGTCCCAACGCCCACATGAGAGGGCACGTGAGCCTTTAGAGAAAAGAAAATTTTGAGTTGGGTGATCTTTCTGTAGAAATCTTTCTTCTTGGGGAATGACCTGGTAGGCTGTTTTGGGGTATTTTCTGGGGCTAAGTTTTTAGGTTTTCTCTTCTGTGGGGTTTGAGCTGTCCTCCATTCTAGCCCGAAGGGTCATTTTCCTATCCCCTCCTAAACCAGTTTTGGGTGATTCCAGAGGGTTCCCAGAAGGTGCCCCCATCGAGGACAATTTGCATAATTCAGGGTCCCTTAGCTCCAGGATCTTTCTGTCTGCTGGATGATTCTCTTTAGCTGATAACTAAACATGTTACTTCCCTTCTATATATTCAGTGCACTGAGGAGGAAGTGATGTTGTTAGCATCTGTAGCTGGGGAAGATTTCCCGGAGGGGCTGGGGAGTGGGATTCAGATCGAGGGAGGCGGTAAAAGGGAGTGGCACAAGCCGACGTTAGGGAGAAGGTGAACTTGGGATTAAATCTGATTGAACTGCCTGTTGAAAAAGTCGTACCCTGCTCCCTTCCCTCCAGTCCCCTGACTGAATCCCCGAGAACAGTTCAGTTTAGTGCTAAGATGCCTTTTGCACCTCTTTGATATTTTCTAGTTTCTCCTTTTAACAAAGACAGAGCAGACTTGGCATCTATCTAGACGTTCATACTGCAGTTTGGTTTCATTATGTTTATTTGTAGAGTTGCCCTGTCTGTGGCACGTGTTACTGATTTTCTGTTAATAATGTAGATAGTGATATAAAGTTTGTTTTTTAATTTTAAAATGAGCTTAAAATAAAAACATGGAATAAGCAGTATGTTAGGAGGACTGTGGCTGTTTCCGAATTGTGAAGGTGATGGGAGAGAGGCCAGGGTGGGGAAGCATCGCTTCTGACGGGGTGGTGGGGGGGGGAGGCTTGCCCCCCCTTGTTGGGGTTTTGGAGCAGGGGAGAGGGCTCAGAGCGGCACTGGGGACATTGCTGTACCGAATCTGCTGGCATGAGGAGGACTGTGTGCAGGAACATGGTTGGGGGATGATCACATTCCATGTCTGAGGTATTACCCAGCCCAGGGGCTGGCCGACTTTCCGTAAAGGGTCAACGGAGTGAATACCTTAGACTTTGCAGGCCCTCTGGTCTGCATCACAGCTGTTGAGCTCTGCTGTTGTAGGATGAAAGCAGACATGCATCATACGTACGGTACCTGAGTTACACACAAGTGGCTGTGGTCCAAGGAAAATCTGTATTTTCTAATCTTTTTCCATTGGGTTGGATTCGGCCTGTGGGCCATCGTTGGCGGACCCCTGACCTGGAGCACACAGGTGTCCCGAGTGGGTGGAAAGGAAGTTTCACATTGGAGAGAGGAGGCCAGAAGCCCCAGAAGGTGCTGGTGACTTGGTACTGGGTGGGTGGCAGCAGAGAATAGAGAATAATCCCTGAGGAGTCTGGTGACAGGACGGGGGAGGAGGAGGGAGGGTAGGATCCTGAATTCTACTTGAGATTCTAGGAGGATGCATGGCACTTGGCCATTTGTAGATGATTGGAGGTGCATCAGAATTCGTCGAGTGTCTCTGGGGCCAGGTCCTGGCTAGGGCTGGGGATTTAGGGGTGAACTAGGCAGATGACTCCAGGGGAAGTCAGAAGAGTGCTTAATTGATGCTTACGGAAGAGCATGAAGCAGTTGGAAACCTTAGCGCGCTTATTCCCGGCTTCTGTGAGAGAAGTTACTATTTCCATTATGCAGATGAGGATGTTGAGGCCGTGAGAAGTCAGGTCACATGCACGAGTAACCCCGTGAGTGATGATCAGAGCCAGGACTTCAGTCCAGATTTCTCGGGCTCCAGACATGGTCTCACCCACGGTGCTGGGAGTACTTAGGTTGACCCGTATGACATTGTAAGTCACAAATGGTTGAATGTCGGCAGTTTTGGATGGCTCAACTAATAAGGCGCTGATGTCTGGGGAACGTCGGGGCTGTGGATGTGGCCCCCACCCTCCGCCCCCACTTCCAGACCTACTTCTTTTCTTTCTTCACTTTCTTCCTTCCTTCCTCCTTCCCCAGCTTCATTTCCATGGCTCATTCCAGCAGCACCCTTGCTCACGTAACCCAGCCTCCCTTGGCTTCTGGTTTTCTCAGTATGTCCATTTGGCAGAACCCTACCTTGGATAGACCCCAGCCATCCCTCCTTTACTCGCCTGTCCCCAAGCGTCAGAGGTCGGCCGGAGAAGGTTGCGCAGGAGGACACGCTCATTCCACCATGCACGCACACATCTTGACCACTAACCTGAGAAGCAGACGTTTTCATCGGCCTGCTCGTCTGACCAGATCCGTTGCATAGCAGCCTCTGTACCCACTCGCCACAAGGGCAGCTTCCCAAGTTCTCTGCTGTGTTGCAGACCTCCCGGCTTGCCCTGCGCCGTCGCTGGCAGCCCGTGGCCTTGCCTGTTCCTTCAGAGGAACACAGCCAGGCGCTGCCCCCCTGCCCTCCCCCTTCCAGCCCCCCGGCCTTCAAACCTCCCCATAGCTGCTCTGGCCTTTCCCTCCCTGTCCTCTTGTAGACAGATGTCTTATTTTCAGTTGCTTCCTTCCCATGGCAGTTAGCTAGCTAGCTGTCTGTCTATTTTTAGTTTATTTTATTTTTTAAATATTTTATTTATTTATTTGACAGAGAGAGAGACAGCGTGAAAGAGGGAACACAAGCAGGGGGAATGGGAGAGGGAGAAGCAGGCTTCCCACAGAGCAGGGAGCCCGATGGGGGGCTCAATCTCAGGACCCTGGGATCATGACCCAAGCTGAAGGCAGACGCTTAACGACTGAGCCACCCAGGGGCCCGTCTATTTATTTTTAAAGATTTATTTATTAGAGAGCACACGAGTAGGGGGAAGGGCAAAGGGAGATGGAGAGAGAATCCCCAAGCCGACTCCCTGTTGAGCATGGAGCATGGCTCGGAGCTCGATTTCATGACCCTATGATCATAACCTGAACTGAAACCGAGTCAGACGCCTGACCGACTGAGCCACCCAGGCGCCCCCTTTCCATGGCATTTTTTTTTTTTTTTTAAGATTTTATCTATTTATTTGACAGAGAGCGAGAGCAGGAACACAAGCAGGGGGAGTGGGAGAGGGAGAAGCAGGCTTCC